GAAGGCCCCAGTGCCACCGCCCGCACCCCACACACACAATTCGGCACACCCCTCACACGTTTCGTGGCCTTAGAGGGAGTTCCACCGAAGGTTCCACCGCCACCGCCCGCATGCGTCCCCCACACCAATTTCGGCACACCCCTCACACGCTTCGTGGCTCCATAGGGAGCTCCACCGAAGGCCCCAGTGCCACCGCCCGCATGCGTCCCCCACACCCATTTCGGCACACCCCTCACACGCTTCGAGGCCCCATAGGGAGCTCTACCGAAGTCCCCAGTGCCCGCCCGCATGCGTCCCCCACACCAATTTCGGCACACTCCTCACACGTTTCGGCACACCCTATACAACCGAACCTATTGGGCGCGAGCGGTCTGCAGCCGGACCATCTCTCGGTCCTGTGGACTCTCGCCCTGGGCCGTCGGCTGTCTGGCGCGCTGCTCCCTCGGCCGACGTCGCCTTGGCGTGATCCTGGACTGCGGCCGCCACGAGGTCGGGAAGGGCAAGAACGAGGACGACGACTGGCGGCTGGAGCTCTATGCGCTGCTCGCGCGCGCCACGCGCCACGAGGACCTCCTGCTCATGCGGGCGCCGCGCATCGAGTTCTTCCTGGCAGGGCCGCCGGAGGGCTTGCGGAAGCAGCTGGAGCAGTTCGCGGCGCGCACGAAGCGGCGCAGGAGGGAGGCGACGGCCTTCGCCACGGAGTTCGGCTTCACCGAGTTCATCCACGAGGCCTGACCTGAGGAGCGCCCCCCCTCCCGAGCCGCGCTTTCCCTCGACTGCCCAACTAATTGTTCGGCCTCGCGCCGCGGACGACCCGCGCGCGTCGCCGGGGCCCTCCTGGGGCGACCGGCGCGCGTCGCGGGAACTCATCGCTGCGTTCTTCCCTGCGCCTTGCTTGCCCGTCGCCGCTCTGCGCAGCGGCCAAAGCCTTGCCCTCCATCAGCTAGCCAGCTAGCTAGCTAGCTAGCTAGCTAGCTAGCTAGCTAGCTCTCTTTGCTCCGCGCAGCGGACGACCCGCGCGCGACGCCGGGGCCCTTCCGGGGCGACCGGCGCGCGTCGCGGGGATTCCGCGCCGCGCTGCGCCCGCAGGCGTGGACTTTGGAGCGCGCGGGCAAAGGGAGGAACAAATGGGAAGGAGGCGGGCGCGATCCTCGTGAGGGGCGCGCCGACGCGTGCGTCGCGGCGCGCGGGCGTTGCCGCCGGGGTTCCCGTTGATGCTTCCTGCCGCGGCCACGCTCAGTGTCACGAGCGTACAGACGGGCACACCTGAACCATTCAGATTCGTATACAATTACACGAGGCGCAACCATGATCGCATTCGTGCAAATACATTCGCTCGCACGCAGACCCATTCACATTTAGACTGATTCGCGCTCAGATGCACCCGCGCTCAGTCTCTCGTAATTCGACCAATCGTTTTCCTTCGCGTTGTGTACCCCGCCACATTTCGGCACGCCCCTCATGCGGGGTTCGTGGGCGCCACCGAAGAAGATAACCTCAATTGCGGTACGCACAACTGCATATGGTTGGGTCCTTCGCCAGGATAAATTGAATATCGTTCGGGTATGCGTTATTTGTCGCCCAAAGCCGCCTGTAGGGGGACAGGCCCGACCTAGACCGATCGTCAATCGCCAACTGATCGCCGATGGGGGGCCTGGTGGCTCGTGGCCCGCTCCCGCCCAGGGCCGAGTGCGGCTGCGCAATCGGATGCCCATCGCCGATACGTCGGCGACGCATTGCCGATCCCAGCTCGACGTTCCCCCCCTGGGCAGGCTGTCGGGGGCCTCCAAACGGTGCGGTGACCACACCGTGTGGTGAGCCGGTGGGGATTTGGGGTCACCGCGCGGTTTTGGGACTCGAGTTTCTCTCCGAAAGAGACTCGGGCGACTGGGAGATCCCGGGTCCCAAGACGGTGCGGTGACGGACCGTGCAGCGAGGTTTTGGGGGATTTCGACGTCAACGCACGGTCCGTCACTGCACCGTTTCGGAACTTACAAAGTTCCCCCTTCCAAGCGCTCCCTATCAAGAGCCGGTGGCCAAGGGGGAGGAGGAGGAGGAGGAGGAGGAGGAGGAGGAGGAGGAGGAGGAGGAGGAGGAGAGGAGGAGGGAGGAGGAGGAGGGGAGGGGGAGGAGGAGGAGGGGGAGGAGGAGGAGGGAGGAGGAGGAGGAGGAGGAGGAGGGGAGGAGGAGGAGGAGGGGGAGGGGAGGAGGAGGAGGGGAGGAGGGAGGGAGGAGGAGGAGGAGGAGGAGGAGGAGGAGGAGGAGGAGGAGGAGGAGCGGGGGGGGGACTACAGCAAGGTCGCGTCGTGTCGACGCGGTGTCGGCCCCGCCGCGGGCGTCCAAGGTTGAGCATCCACTGGTTTTTGATCCGTCTGCGATATCGAGAAACACCGGTCGTCCTCCTCCTCCTCCTGCTCCTCCTCCCCCTCCCTCTCCTCCTCCTTCCTCCTCCTCTCCTCCTCTCCTCCTCCTCCTCCTCCCCCCCTCCCCCTTTCTCTCCTGCGGCGGCCTCGGCCTTCGCCC